ACACACACACACACACACACACACACACACACCCGTACACCACACACACACGCACGCACACACACACACAGACACACACACACACACACACACACACACACACACACACACATCTCTCTCACACGTACACCACACACACGCACACACACACACACACACACACACACGCACACACACACACACACACACACACACACACACACACACATCTCTCTCACACGTACACCACACACGCACACACACACACACACACACACACACACACGCACACACACACACACACACACACACACACACACACACACACACACACACACACACACACACATCTCTCTCACACGTACACCACACACACGCACACACACACACACACACACACACACACACACACACACACACACGTACACCACACACACGCACACACACACGGTTACTCCCCCCAGGATTGGTCTTCTCTGCCTGCGCGCTGCGGGAACACCCTCGGGCGGCCGGGTGGGGCTGCGGCTGGAGCTAGCATGGCTCGATAGAGCCGAGACCCCGTGTTGAGGCGGCGCTCCTGTGGGCGGCTGTGGAATCGGCAGATTCGACCTCAGGTCTCCAGTACTCTCATCCCAGTGGATGGACGTCCGGACGTCCCTTGTGTTCCTCTCCCGTCCGCCAGCGAGACGCTCAGTCGCTGGCGGCCGCAGTTTTCTGTGACCCACCCACCTCTCCCTTGTGTTTTGTCTGGGGAGGGGCTTCTCCTGCGGAGTCGTGCGTGCGCAGGGCTCCTCTTTGCTTTCTTCTACTCCCTAGTTATCATCTCGTTTTCCCGTCCTACCAGAGAAACACACACCTCACACACACGCGCACTGGGCCTTGCACTTTGAATGCCGTGGGGCTCCTGTCGTCAGACGTGGAGACGCGAGGGTTGCCCCCCCTTGCCCGACCACCTCGTGTGTGTGGAGAAGTTTACCTTACCTTACCTTACCTTGCCTGTGGAGAGACTGGAGTGGAGGTTCACTTCCCACTTGAACACACACAGCAGGAGAGGCGGGAGTTGCCTCTCAATATACTCGCGGTGGCGGCCTGCGCAGACAGACTCGGTGGTCGTTGCGTGGTATCGATGCGTGTCGCGCCGCCGATGGCTCCACGAGAAGTGAGCCGACGACGGTAGCCATGTCGAGAGCTGGCTTGGCCTTTCGTGGCATGGTTTTGCGTGACGGCTCTATGCAATCCTGGCTTGCCACAGAAGCTTGCTCGAATCGCCGACGGCCAGAGCGGTGCGCTTCAGACGACTCGCCCTGGAGCGGGTTGCGTGACCGCGGAAAAGAGGGTGGGCTGCGAGGCACGATTGTTGCCGGAGGTGCAAGAGAGGCCGCGACGCCGGCTCCGTCCCTCGCACGCCTCTTTGCCTCGCGCGGTGCATCGGTCAAGGCCTCGCTCATCAGCAACCTAACCTGGTCTACGTGCTCTGCCCTCGCTCCGCGGCCGCCTGCGCGCAGGAATGGGGCGCCCGCGTTGAGCGTGAAGTGAAACGCAGAGCCCGGTTTCGCCATCCTCTCAAAGTCAGCCGTGCTTAAGTTGCTGCGCTGGCTGTAACCCGCAGCAGTGGGCGGGCGGGGCGGCGGAGGAGGCGCGTTCTCAGCCCAAACCCTGGAGGTGGCCATGACAACTCAAGCCCGCCAGCCCGCCAGGGACCCAAAAGGGACGCACGCGAGGGCGTAACCGCCTCTCTTCTCCCTCCAGCGCTGTCGGATCCGCATGGCGGAAGTCGGCGTTGGCGCGAGCGCCTACCTGGAGAGCCTGAAGGACGAGAACAAGGCCATGGAGGAGCAGATCCAGGAAATGGAGGCAATGGCCACTCGGTCGCTCACCGCTCAGCCGACAGAAGCGCTCGAGAAAACGTTGCCGCAAAAGGGAATCAAGATCCTTTCGTGGAACCCTCCAGTGCTGAGCGAGGCAGGAGTGGACCACGGCTCTGAGTGGCGTGTGCACCCTAGATGCGGAGGACAGATCCCTCTTTGCAACCCGGCACCTGCAGTGGCACTGCATGAATGCCCACGCACGCATTCTGCTGCACCCATCACACTGTGACGAGTGGCCCTCTCCGCACAGGCGACCGCCGCAGACCTCCGGCCGGAAGAAGGATGGCAGCCTGTTTGTTGGCTCGTGATCACAGCGCGCCCTCTCCTCCACCGGCGTACAGCCGCCGTGCGGGACCGCGGGAGTGGAGTGACTGGGAGAGACGGGGAGGGGGGGGGCATATGTGGAAGGAAGCCGGGGCGAATCGATGACTGCCCAGGGCCCCGCGCGCCACGTTCTGCGCGGGTCTGATAGCCGATAGCAGAGTAGGGAGTAGCGCGAGAGAGCCTGGACGCAAGGACCAGCCTGGACCAGCCCCCACTAGTGAGCAACGTGCTACTGCCAAGGAGAGGGATGGGAGGACGGCACGCCGCCACCACATAGGGATTTTTTAAGGAGACAACCATCGCATAATTTCTTTTTTGGCTGTAAGAAAAAAGAAACAATGCCCCCGAAGGAGGCGGCTCCACCAGGCGGAGGTTTCGGCGCGCATGCGGGCGGCTGGCCGACATCGAGGAGAAGCAGGAGGCGATAAGGCGCGCGAAACCCACAGCCTCGACATCTGCGGCGCCGCCGCCGGAGCCGGCCGAGGCCGCTTCCGGCGGCGCCTCGTTGGCGGTTCCCGATTTCGGCGCCCTCGCGGCAGACAAGGACGACAAGACCGCCGGCGGCTCCACGGCGCCGCGTTACGAGATCTGGCGCAATCCGGAGAAGTCGGTCAACTCCTACGGCGAGCCCTTCTCAGCATGGGCCACCTACGTCCACGGCATGCCCGCGTGGTTCATCGTGTGGAATGAGGGGTCGCCTGACGAAGGGCCCGGCCGCCAGAACAAGTGGGCGGCCGCCAAGCCGCCGGGGTTCACCGAGCGCCACCTCGTCACCAAGGAGATGCTAAGCTCGGACGAAATGACGGACGATATCGACTACCACATGGCCCTCGACGGCCGCGACACCAGCGTCCCGGTCGAGCACTTGGAGCCGATTGCCGCCTGAAATGCTGGCCTCCCCCGCCATGGTGGTGGTGGTCTCTCTCGCAAACGCACCCTCCCGAACTGAGCGTGCGCCGCGCGACGGAGCACGGAAGACACCTGTGTGTACGGAAATCTCCTGACTCTGCGATACCAGAACCAGAACGGGTGGTACTGCGTCGTGGTATTGACACGATGCTTCTTCATGCTTCTGCATGTTTCCGACAGCGGCGAGGACGCCGAGCAGATTATTCAGCCGACGTAGCTCGCCAAGGTCCAGGACGCCCTGAATCTGCTGGTGCTGGCCCGGGTGCCGGCTGTGGCGGAGGCAGATCACGCCACTCAGGGCGCGAGTTCCTCGCGCGCGGGGGCCCGCGCGTTGCGCGAGGAGCAGTTACAGCTGATCCTCCGCGAGAACGGCCTCTCGTCGGGTGCACGACCCCGGGGTCGACGTCGACCCGGCCTACCTGACCCGAGCCGCGCCCTGTTTGAAGAAGGAAAAGAATTCAGGTTTCACAGGCGTGTTACAAAAGACAAGCCAGCCATACATGTTACGTGGCTGGGTTCACAGCGATTGTAGGAAAATGACGGGACCACTTGACGGTCGCGGCCTTCCGACTCGCGCCTCCGCCTCACTGGCACTATTGTAGCCCTGGCCGGTGCGCGTGCAGAGTTGAAGTTCCCGAGTGAAAATTCGAACGCGTTCTCTCACGGTGACCAAAAAATGTCCACCTCAGAGGCACCTCCGGAGGCAGGCCGCCGCACGCCGGCGACACAGCTCCAGCTGTCGAACTGACCCGCAGCTCCTCTCAGAGCGGGACCTGTGACGAAAGTTGACTGAGGCGGTTGTCAGGAATCATCATACGGATCACATGGTGGCTCTCTCATGACGGGAGAGCGCCCGACCACTCCTGGGTGGCACTGCCACCGGTGTCGCTCGACGTCCTGTCGACAGCGTGCCGACAGCGACACAGACCATGTGGGACGCGTCGAGTATCGACCTCTACTGCTTACCCAGCCTTCGAGTGTATCCTGGCTGTGGTCCCACACCCACTGGTGTCCATCTCAGAGACCGCAGGAGGTCATGAGGGTCGATGGGAGTGCCAACCCCACAATGCCTAAAAACCCAGCCCAGTACATCGCCGGGGGCCGGGGCGATTTTTTAACCAAACATCTCATTTTCCCCGAGCTCCAGGCAATTCATAAGCGCGTCCGTCGTCATCGGTGGTCGTCGTGGACCGCGACGTTGACCATCCACGGCTTGGCCTCGTCGAAAACCTTCTGATGACGCACCCGGATGCGATGGGGCCGTCTCCACGCGCGGCGGCATCGGGCACGAGGCGGCGACGTGGTTCAACACCAACTTCGCCACCAAGACTGCTAAGGCATCCTCCGACAGCGAACGATGGCGGATCAGCGGCGAGCGCCAGCGCTTCCTGCAAGTACACTCGACCATCATCGCAAGGCGCAACGCTGCCATCTTCGACTTCAACGCGTGGCCGAAGATGGGCGGCGAGATGCCGCGGGCGCCCCGGGAGCAATACGAGTAGGGACGGGCGAGGGAGGGCGGGCGCTACCCACGGGCAACTACACGCCGGAGGTTCAACGACGACTACTCGCCGCCTGGGTCGTTTGGGGCGCGCGGCTCCGTCGAGGACCGGGCGCGCCCCTTACCCGGCGCGGCGTAGGTCCCACTCTGACGTAAAGAGGGGAGGCACGGACGACAGCCCATCCATCTTCTGGCGCTTAGCCCCGTGCAACGGCGGTCCGGCAGGCAGCCCCCAAGGCCCCCCGGGCCGCTGCGGGTTTGGGAGTTATGCTTAGGCACAGCTTCGGCGATGGCAGCCCCTTTCTGGGGTGTTGCATAGGTGGGGAGTCTCCCCCGCTGGTCTCCTCCTTCCCATTTTTTCTTTTCTTTTGAGAGCAGGACGCCGGGTTTGTCTTGTATGTGCGTGTCGGGCCTGGGTGTGTGCGCGGGGCAGAGAGGGGCGGGGGCGTGCGGGGCGGAGGCCCAACGTCGGACGGCTTGTCGGGGCCGAAGAATTCGAGGGGGGGAAGAGGAGGGGGGAATGGGCGGTCGGCGTTGGAGTAGCAGCTGCAGGGCGTACGGGATAGCCGTCACTTTCCTGCCTCACAAGGGCGGGGCTGTCCCGGAAAGTGAGAAACCGGGCAGCGTGGCGCACAACTGAACCCTCCCATACGTGTTCGTGGCTCCTCCTTTGCTGTCCCATCTCCTCATCTCTTTCCCGCCTGGGCGGGGCAGTGGGCGGGCGCGCGGTGCGGTGTGGCGTGTGCGTGTGTGCGACTGCGACGAAGGACCGCTCGCAAGGGACCATTGGGTTTGTATTATTAACAACGAGGGCGCTCTCAAAAAAAGAAAAGAATTTATCGGCGCCTCGAAGCCGCCCCGCCCAGTCACCCTTCGTCTCACGCAAAAAATTATGACGTTCCCCGACGAGTGGGGTGCCGGCGGCGGCGACGGCGGCCCGACCGAGTCGAAGCTCGTCGCGCTCTCGATGCAGAGCAACGAGGCGCTCCTCATCAAGACGCTGCTGGCGCGGAGCTGCCCGAGCGCAAGGCTGAGCCGCGTGCAGCGCGTGCAGAACAAGAAGCTGTGGTGCGAGTACGCCCACTACCGCGACGAATCGCTCGTCCACACCTGCGCCGGCGGCGACGTCAACGAGATGCTCCTCTTCCACGGCACGGCGGAGCGGGCGGCGGAGGATGTGCTCGCGCATCAGAACGGGCTCGACCCGCGCTTCTCGAACGGCGGTTTTTACGGCCAGGGCATCTACCTGGCGGAGGACCCGTCCTACCCGATCGGCGGCCGGTACGCGCACCGCATCTCCGGCTCGGGCGGGCGCCGCGTGCAGCTGCTCATCGTGAAGGCCGCCCTCGGCTCGCAGCAAGAGATGGGGCAGCAGATTAGCGCGGAGACGAGGGCGATGCGCATGCCGGACGTGCGCGTCGAAGGCCCTCCCCGACTCCTCTACGACAGCGTGCGCGGCGGGCCGCACCGCCCCTTCGTCTCCGGCGGAGGCGAGAACGGGTGCGACGCGTCCATCGTGCACGTTGTGTACGAGTCACGCCAGATGTACCCGGCGTACGTGATCGAGGTCGAGATGGAGATGGGGGCCGAGGTGGTGGCGGCCGTGCGCAAGAACTCGGCGGAGGGGAGTGCGAGCGCTGGCCCGGCACCCAAGCAGCAGCGCCACGCTGCGCCGAGCGGCGGCGGCGGCGGCGGCGGCGGCGGCTCCAGCAGCGGCGGCTCCAGCCACTCTGCTGCTCATGTCCCCGCCGCTGCGCCACCGAGCGACGCGGAGGTGGGGGCGATGGGCGTGGCGGCGGTGGTGGCGGCGCTGCGGGCGCACGAGTCGGTCTTTTTTGCGGCTTGCTTGCGGTTGATTGATCTGTGCAAAGAGGCGCAGAACAAGCAACCCGCGGCGGACGCGGGCGCGATCGAGGCGATCGTGGCGACGATGCAGGCGTACCCGCAGGTGGCAGACGTGCAGCAAATGGGCTGCTTGGCGGTGGACCGCGTGTGCTTCGGCACCGACGCCGCAGGGCTTGCACGCATCCAGCGCGCAGCAGACGCAGGCGGCATCGAGGTGGTTGTGGCGGCGATGCTGGCTCACCCGCACGTGGCGGACGTGCAGGAAATTGGCTGCTTGGCGATGGCCAACGTGTGCGCCGGCAACGACGCTGCAGCGCTCGCACGCATCCAGCGCGCAGCAGGCGCGGGCGGCATCGAGGTGATTGTGGCGGCGCTGCAGGCTCACCCGCAGGATGCGAACGTGCAACGGAATGGCTTCTGCGCGATGGCCAACGTGTGCGCCGGCAGCGACGCTGCAGCGTTCGCGCGTTGCCAGCGTGCAACAGACGCGGGCGTGATCGAGGCGGTTGTGGCAGCGATGCAGGCCCACCCGCAGATGGGGAAAATGCAAGAGTTTGGCTGCTGTGTGCTGGATCACGTGTGTGCCGGCACCGACGCTGCAGCGTTCGCACGTATGCAGCGCGCAGCTGCGGCGGGCGGCATCGAGGTGGTTTTGGCGGCGCTGCAGGCTCACCGGCAGCATGCGGGCGTGCAGCAGAATGGCTGCCGGATGCTGGCCAGCGTGTGTGCAGGCGCACCCGCAGCATGCGGGCGTGCATCAGTGTGGCTGCTTGGCGGTGCGCCGGCACAGACGGGCTGTCTATGAATGCACAGCTTCCGTCGTGTGCGCGATCTGTTTGCGCGGGGGCTCGAGCGGGGGGGGGGGGGGGGAAAGGGGGGCGGGGGTCTCTGTGTGGCACACGCGCCTTCGTTTTGAGCCGTACTATATGGAATACACGTATGCACGAACACAACACCGGAACAGACAGCCACGCCCAGGGCTGCACAGCGTGCAGGCTCGGAGTCGGACTGGACACCAACGCGGTTTGGGTTGGACGCGAGACAGAAGATGATGACGGCACGCTGGAGCGACACACAGAGAGCCACACACACACACACACACACACACACACACACACACACACACACACACACACACACACACACACAAGGGACACTCGTCACACGTCAGCCAGAGCTGGGCTGCCACACGCCCCGAGTGAGCGTACCGTACGGCACTACGCTTCTCGGGGCCACGCCCCCCCCTGTCGCCCCCCCCAGCGCCTAAGGCGCCAAGGGCACAAAAACAACAGCAGAAACAAGACAAACAAAGGCGACAGGGCACATGTGAGGCTAGAGTAGACTGCTGCACTGCTCCGCCTCTAGCAAACTCGCCGGCCGCACAAGGCACGGACGAGATCGACGGACGAGAGCATGTATGGGGTCTCTGAGGTGTCTATGGAGTCCGACGCTCTCCTCACAGGCCAGCGACCTATCGTTAGGAATAGCGCTACACTCGCATTTATGATTGACGGCAGTGCAGATGATGAACTCAGGACCAGAGCGGCGGAAGAAAGAATTTAAACAAAACAACTCCCTCTCAGTCGCCCCGCCCGCCCACGCCGGCGACTGAATTTACATTCGATTGTTCCATCGATTGATGAGTCTTGTCCAAGCTAGACGACTAGTCTTGTCCCGCCCCGGGTGTGTCGTGTGCCATCCGGTGTTCCCCGTGGTGTTCCAGTGTGGTGGGGAGGCTCAGCGCCCACCACCGGGGATAGGTTTCGTCAGTATCGGCGTCGCATCGGCGGCGCCGATACAGGGACCGAGGGAGAAGGCTAGCGCTTGTGGGCAAGAAGAGCGCATTACTCAATACAACTGCACGTGCACGGCCACCTCGTGCAAGTCTTATGGTTCAAGTCTTATGGTTCGAGCAGGTGCGAAGACTGGAGGGGCCCTTTGCAGAGTCTTCTGAAGGAGGCGGCTCCACCCAGGCTCCCCCGCACAAAATAGGGAGTGACGGCCGCCGCAGCCAGGCAGGCCGAAACGGAGGTACGTACATATGGCGCTGCTGCTCGCCCACGCCGCGATGGCACTCCACGCACCCCCATTCGTGCGAGCGGCTGCACGCGCTCCATCGCTGGCGGCTGTCGCAGCTCCTTCCGATCTGACTCAGCGTCTGATCAGCGATTTGACCGCTCCCGACCGGCTGGAAGCTCTGGCCTCCTGCGACGCCAGACGCATCGCGTACGACCCGTTCAACTTTTGGGACATCATCGTCGAGAGCCTGAGCCCAGCGCACTTCTCCAGGGCCTTTGGCCTGATCCTGCCGACACTGTGCGGCCTTGCTGCCTGGGGCCTCAGCCTGACGTGGCTGCTTCGTCGGCCGGAAGTGGCAGGCCTCTCCGAGCTCATCGGGCCGTACACGGCGCTGAGCGGCTCGCTGCTCACGCCCGTCTCCTTCCTCCTCGTCTTTCGTATTGGCCGCGCGGCCGCCCGCTTCTGGGACGCCCGCGCTGCCCTGGGCGCGATCATCGAGAAGTGCCGCAGCGCCGCGTCTACCAGCGCCCTCACGTACGCGTCGACGCCTGAACTGCGGGACCAGTTCAGCCGCTGGCTGTCCGTCCTGCCGATCGCGGCGAGATCAGCCGAGATCAGCCGAGATCAGCCGAGATCAGCCGAGATCAGCCGAGATCACCCGAGGTCAGCCGAGATCACCCGAGATCAGCCGAGATCAGCCGAGGTCAGCCGAGATCAGCCGAGGTCACACGGGCGTCCCTCCGCCTCCACCCCTCTGGCATGCTCGAGCAGGGGCGACCCGCCGCGTCACATCTCCAAAGAACACATCTCCAACAGGTGAAGAACGACCTGCGCGCCCTCGACGCGAGCAGGAGCGTTGCGAGGGGCTACCGGCTGCAGCAGCTCTGCCCGGTCCTGACTGAGGAGGAGGCGTCGGAGCTGCTCGACAGCAAGCGAGGCGAGCGGCGGGGCCTGCTCCTCGCGGCTGCTGCTTGGGGCACGTCCACGACGCGTCCCGCGCACGCGTCCCTTAGGCCCGATCCTCGTCCTCAACAGACTGCGGAGGGTCTGCTTCGCCGCAAACGCCGCGTCAGAGACAGACCCGATCGAGCGCGCCCAGGCGCTGCGCTCGATCAACAAGGTGGTGCACGACCTAACATCGTCATCACGATCACAATCATAACCATGAGATGCACGTCACAAGGTGGTCGACGACTTAACGGGCGCGTGGGGCGCCATGGAGCGTATCGGCAACACGCCTCTTCCTTTTGCGTACGTGGCGCACCTCCGCACCACCCTCGTCCTCTATCTCGGGCTCTGGCGCGCGAGAGCAGCGAGAGCTAACCGAGAGCAGCCGAGAGCAGCCGAGAGCAGCCGAGAGCAGCCGGGAGTAGCCGAGAGCAGCCAAGAGCAGCCGGGAGTAGCCGAGAGCAGCCAAGATCGGCCGCGTCACGTCCACGACACGTCCACGACACGTCACCGCAGGTACGTGAGCATGCTCTCCCGCTTCGGCCCCGTCGTGCTGCCGGGCGAGATCTAGCCGAGATCTAGCCGAGGTCTAGCCGAGGTCTAGCCGAGGTCTAGCCGAGGTCTAGCCGAGATCTAGCCTGTTGCTGCCCTGCTGGTGGCGTGAAATGTCCCGGACGCGTCCCCTAGGCCTGCTCCTCACCTCGTGGGCCCTGCTCGGCATCGAGGCTGCCGCCGTCGAGTGCTCGAGCCCCTTCCAGCGCAAGCCCAACCACCTGCGGCTCGGACGCGCCTGCTCGGAGGTGGCTCAGTGCGTGGCGCAGACGCTGGCGGAGAGTGCGTGCGAGGAGGCGAGGGGGGTACGCTACAGCCGGGGCGGAGAGGTGCAGGTCGCAGCAGCGGCTCCGATCGCCGACCCAGTGCCGCAGCACGAGGAATGAGCGGCGCGTGCATGGGGGGGCCGCGTCCGAGTGCGGCGTGAGACTTTGGAGATGGCTCATGGCTGCGCGGTCACACTCACAGAGAGCGAGAGAGAGTAAGCCAGAGTAATAGAGCTAATACGTACAGTACTGACTCGAGCGCTGTAATTATGCCTTATGAGAGCTTATGAGCTGGGAAACTGCAATGTGCAAGAGTGCAAACGCCCATGAAAGGCGCCACACACGCAACCCACCGACTGGCTCGCAACCGAGCTGGCCGAGTATGGAGAGATAGATGCGGCATGCCGCGACAGATTCGTCATGCACCTGATGACGGCCGCCGGCGCCTCGGCGCCGGCCGACGCCGTGTTCAGGTTCACAGCCGGCGAGCCGATGCAGACCTCTCGCCCGATCTCCGCGTCGGGCGAGGACGACGACGAGGACACCGGCTCCGAGGAGTATTCCGACGACAGGGAGGGCGTCCGACCGCTAGCTGGCTTCAACCATATCTTACCCTTTCTGCCCCCCCCCTCCTCCGACCCCCCAGGCTAGATGGAGTAGTCAGATGTAGATTCTGCCCCACACAGCCCCTTACCCCTTCACCCTCGCCTCGCTGCTTAGTGTTTCTGAACACGTAGTCGTCCACGCTGTGGGGGTTGTGTGTGGGTCCTGTGTCTGGGAGGGAGGGAGTGGGGTGCAGGTTGCTCACCCACGGCACCGGGCCGGTGCTTGCACTTTGAATGCCGTGGGGCTCCTGCCCGTGTCCGGGCGTGGAGATGCGAGGGTCGCCCCCCCTTGCCCCACCACTTTGTGTGTGTGGAGACGTTTACCTTACCTTACCTTACCTTACCCACCGTGCATGGTGCAACAACCGTGACCCTCATTATGATACATGAATGTACCCGGGCGTACTGACGTACGGATCCGCATCGGCGCGGCCTGTGCATCACTCGGTCGCTGGCGACGCTGCGCGCCGCCGCAGCCAAGCTGGAAGGAGCGAGTCCAACAGCCCGACGGCGCGCACGCGCGTCGCGAACTCGCAGACGCGCACCAGCTGGAAAGCGGCGAGCGCCGCCCACACATACCGAAGGCCGAGTGCGCGCCTCGCGATGGCGTGCAGCGACGAGAGGAAAACGAGCACGTTGGCGGCGTACGCGCCCGCGAGGAAGCCGAGCTGGCGGCCGCCGAGCAGAAGGCCCTCGAGGCACATGGTCGCCTACGGAGGCTCGTAGAAAGTTCGTAGACGCTTCGTCGAGCAGAGCCGGGCCTCGAGCCTGGCGGCGGCCGGGTGGATCGAGAGAGCGACGCCAAGCAGCGGGGCCACCGTCGCCATCGCCGCCGCCACCGCCGCGTCCTGAGTGAAGACGCCGGAGCAGCCGAGCACGACCCCAACCTAGGAAAGGCCAAGACAGCTTCCGGCCAAATGGCAGAGGGAGGGGTTCAGCAACCGAGCGCAGTCCCCCCAACCGCTGCGAGCGACACAGCGCCGCCGAGCAGCATGCTCACCAACAACAGCTTGCGGCTCAGCTCCACCGCACCCTTCTCCGGCGCCCCGCCCGGCCGCATCCTCGCCGCCGCAGGCAAGCACGCAGGCAAGTACGCCTGGCGCAAGAGGAAGATCTGTCAGAGAGACGGTCCGGAGACGCCGGAGACGCCTCCAAAGAGCGCGGCAAGCACGCCTGCGCTGTCTGCGAGATCGCGTCGCCGAATTTGCAGCCCAGAAAGAAAACGGTCGCAACCACCTGATGGCAACCTCCGTGTCGCGAGACTCAGCCTGCCGCTCCGAGGCAGAAGACGGTTCTGCCGCTGGCCTGGTGGCCCGCCAGCGCCACAACTCCACCCGCCGTCGCGGCGAGCGTCATCGAGTTGTAGCACGAAATCTTGCCTAGGTGCGGCGCAGAGACGGCTCAGAGACAGTCCAGCGGCACCGAGGGGCAGCACGAGGGGCAGCCGATGAGCACGCAGAAGATCGGGCCGGCAAACGAGAGGAAGTCGACGAGGCGGGCGGGGGACGGAGGCCGCTGCAGCAGGGTCGGCGCGGTGACGCCAGGCACGAGGCGGCTGCGCTTGCGCTTGACGATGACTGCGAGGACGAGCGGTGTGTGGGTGAGCGGTGTGAAGCGTCAGTGTGTGTGCGCGCGCGCGTGTGTGTGTGTGTGTGTGTGCTGCGAGGCAGGGCCACCTGCGAGGACGAGCACTTGGACCACCTGCGCGGCAGGGCAGGCAGCAGGAGTGAGCAGCCTTCGCCATTCGAGCAGCAGCAGCAGCGTTGCGTGGCCTGCGAGACGACGGTCGCGGAGGCGGCGCCTGCGATGCCCATCCCGCAGCCGAGGACGAGCCAGAGGTCGAGGGCGAGGTTGAGCAGCCCGCCCAGCACGATTGCGATGAAGGGAGTCGTGGCGTCCTTCATGCCGGTGCACGCCCCCTGCAGCACCGTCGCCGTCATCAGGGCAGGCACGCCGAGGATGCGGATCGCCTGCAGGAAGAGTCCACGAAGCTTCTCGGAACCCTCCTCTGTCAGCAGGGCAAGCACGCCGAGGATGCGGATCGCGCCAAATACTGCTTCGCGCCAGGCAGAGCGCCGGGCGCCATCGCACAGATCCGAGCGAGCGCCGCGCCGCCTCCCCACGACAGCCCCACGACAAGCAGCGCGGCGCAGGCCAGGCTCACGTACAGTGCGTCGCTCAGCACGGCGAAGGCGTCCCGGTGCTCGCCTACAGGAACACTCCACAGAACCCTTCTCGGACCGCCTTCGGCAGGCGAAGGCGTCGTTCTGCGCGCCGCGAGCAAAGTGCGTGGCGAACAGGTTGGTGCACGCCACGTTTAGCCAGAAGAAGAGGTAGACCGTAGAGTCGGAGAGCATCGTCGCCGGGCCGAGAGCAGCGAGCTGCTGCGGTCCGAGCGTACCAACAACGGCAGTGTCGACGACCGACATGATCTCGGCCGAGAGAGCAGCGGTGAGGACGGGCAGCGTGAAGCGAAGCAGCTCCAGGGCGGTCACATCTTCCGGCGGACACTCATCCGCCGCAGGAACAGCGCCGGACGGGCCGTGCTCGTTGGCGCTCACAGTCGTCAAGCCGGGTATTGGCGCGTCAGGCAACGCCTCTGCTTCCGGGTCCATTGCCGTCATGCGACCGGCATGCCACCGGACCGGGTTCCGGCGACCAGCATGGTCAGCTCGGCATGCGAGAAGCGGCCTGGCTTGCAGCGGCGCCAGAGCGAGCAGGGCGTTGACGGCGATTGGCAGCAGCAGCAGCATCGCGACGAGTGCCGCGTCGTCGACACGCCCTCCGAGCGAGTCTGGCGACTTAGGCGAGGAGGCGCCAGGCGAGCGAGTCTGACGACTTAGGCGAGGAGGCGCCAGGCTGGCGCCAGGCCGCGCTGAAGCCGAGCGAAGACAACCGAGCTCTGCGCAGAAAAAGAATTTAAAAACTGGCAACTGGGTGCGCTTCTGAGCTCCCCGGTCCTGGATGTGAGGCTACTAACCGCACTCCAAGTGCTCCAAGTGCTGGGTGCGCTTCTCAGCTCCCCGGTCCTGGGCGTGAGGTTACTGATTGCACTCCAAGTGCTCCAAGTGCTCCAACGCCTCCCTCACAGCACACAGGCTCGACACAGGTGCGAACTGGCGCGTGCTAGTACTATCACCGGCTTTAAAAATGTCGCGTCCCCGGTGTCCCTGATCGTCCTTACAAGATCCTGCTCGTGCAGGTGGGGACCCTGTCCTTCTCCCACCCCTCGTTTGGCGTGCCCACCGCTTGGCCTCATTGCGGGGGCGGCCACCGGGCCGTGCCGTGGCCACCCCCGTAGCTCGCGAAGCTGCGAACCGGGCTGCGTCCACTGCGCCGCGCCGGCGCGCCGCGACCGTCGGCCCCCGGACTCGGTTCTTGCGGCCTGCGCCGGAGAGTTGGCGGTCGTGCGCTGGGTGGTGATCGTCATCTGTCTGCTCTGCTGTGCTTCTCGCTCGTGCGTCCTTGGAAGTTGTGCTGACCTCCTTTCACCTCCTGCTCTCCTATGCCACGTGGCTGTGTGTGTTTGGATTTCTATGTTTGCGATTTGGATTTTGGATTTTCCACTACACTTTGTTTATTTATTTATTTATTATGCCGCCCTCCCATCCCTCCGTTGGGCTGTATGTTTTCTTTCTTTCTTTTTTTTCAATGGCCCAACACCATCCGGAACGGCTAGCTAGCACCACCACACTCCTCTGCTTGAAATCCCTGTGTGGTGGCGGCGTGCCGTCCTCCCATCCCTCCCATGCCATGCCGCTTTTCTTTCGTTCTTTCTGGGAACGCACATGATCATGTGCACATGCATGTGCATGTATTAAGCTTGGCATGATCTTGTGTACGGCACCACATGCTGTGTGAATGTTGCACGCCGAGGTCTGTCCGATCAACTCCAATTCAACAGTGTCAAATTACACGAGCGAGCTGTCGGCAAGCGGTTGCCAGTTACGCCCTAGAGCCTAGTGCTTTCGCCTTTGGATTGAAGGTGCTCAGCATCCGCTTGTACACTGCCATCGTTTGGGGGGGCATCTCGATGTCTTCATCCGGGTGGTGCAGATCGCGCTTGTCAACCTGGCTTGCCATCGGATGCCACTCCACGAACAGATTCTGCACGCGCTGACACAGCACGCCCGAGAGGAGGAGGTTGCGCATGAGCCGCCCCTCATACCCCTCAACGTCAATTTTGAGCGCGACCGGCCCAGGGGGGCCAGTGCTCGATCTTTACCGGTATGAGACCGGTATTTGGCGATATTTTGATTAGTTTTGGAGTGGTATGGTATAGTGGTACGCGAAAGTGGTATGCGGGGTTTTCATTAGTTGTAGCGGCTGTCGGTGTTGTCCCGGGGGCGAAACCATGCAAAAGTGCGGGTATTACCCGGGTATACCCGGGGTTTTCCAGGTATACCCGCAAAATACCCGGTATTTTGCCGATTTTGCCGATTTTGCCACAAAATTTATTTAACACTTTTTGATTAGTGCAGGCCTTGGGTTTGATTAGCCAAAAACTCCCATACCGGTAGAGAGAGAGACTCTCACGCCGCGCGTAGGGCCCTTAGGGGCCTAGAGAACACAACCCCCCTCTCTCTTTTCTCCCAGTAAGCTAAAAGTACGTACCGGTAAAGATCGAGCACTGCCCCAGGCGGCGCGTGACGGATCACGCTGAGTGCGTTCACCGTCCGCACGCGCACTCTGTTTTCGCCCACCGCTGGCCCGCGCCGCCCCAACCCCTCGCGAGTCTTGGTGCGCTTGTGGAGCATGAGGGACGACCCCTTAGCGTTCCTGGTCGTGCTGTCGAGGCCGAACATCGCGGTGCCGTCAAGCTCGGCGAAGGCAGTGCCGTTGAAAACCTCAATGTGCACGCCCAGCTTGTGCCGCGGCAAGGCAGCAGCAGTGTGCAGGATTCTCTGCAAGCTGCGGGTTGGGTTCATACGCGAGAGCACAGTACGACAGCCGCACGCTCAGAGGCAGCCACCATGGCCACTGCTTAGGCTGAACAAGCTTTTCCTCTCGCACCCCGTCTCTTTTCCTTCCTTTTTTCTCTACAGCACCCTCTCTTTTCCTCTCTATTTTCCCGGGGAAACCATCAAATTTTCCGGGCTCTGAGCCGAGTCTGAGGCTGGTTTGGGCCCAAAATCAGCCAAATCGGCAAAATACCGGGTATTTTGCGGGTATACCTGGAAAACCCCGGGTATACCTGGAAAATACCCTGCGACCGCCTGGGTATCGTGCCGATTTCCTCAATTTTGCCTCAGATTTTGCCCCAGACCAGCTCTCAGACTCAGGGAAACTCGCGAGTTTCCAGAATGGAGCACCAAACACCCTCTGTTTTCCCTGGAAACTTCCGGAAACGCAAAGTGCTGGGGCCCCTCTGTTTTCCTTTTTGTTTGCCGGAAAAGCTTGTGCAAGCCAAGCCACTGCCAGGCGCACGGTTTGCGGCGCAGCGCATGCGGCGTGGTAGCGCACGACTCGGCTGTGTACCACATATGCAAAGAGTCGCCACTGTTGGCACCAGCGTCGATGAACGTGCCGAGGGCCCAACTTGAGAATCGTGCTTTGAGTTGGGTTGTTTCGTGTTGGGTTGGGTTGTTGGCTTGGGTTGGGTTGTTCCGCGTGAGGTTGGGTCGTCGGCGCGAAGGGTGAGGTCTCGACCGCCGCCGCTCACGCCAGCGGACGGCCACTGCCGGTGTTTTTGGCTTCGCCACCGTCCAAGGCGTGCGCCATGCGCTCGCCGGCATCGAGCGAGCAACGTGATCGACCGAGCGGCTTGCTGTGTGGTCGCCTTCTTGTGGCTCTCGTCGAGAGCGTTTTGCGTCCCGGCGGGTGGGAGAATGTGTGTCGTCTGAAGTGTCACTGTGTGCGTCACATCGATGTGGATAACAAGCACGGTCGATCCGTCAAAGCGATACACTCGTTCCTATCACGCTGGAAGGCTTGCACGGAGCTCTGTGCCGGCACACAGAAGAGCCGTGCGGCAAGAGAAGAGCTCGATGGGGAGCGAGAACTGCCAGAGGTGCTCACCCAGGTTTCGGAAGTCCGCCTTGATGCGGTCAGTCCCCCCCAGGTTTGACCGCGCAGCTCGCAAGACTCGTCGAACACTCGTAGCCTTTCTGCGCCTCTGACTCTGCAAGCTATGCGGGAAGAGCAGTTTATTCGCAATATATCGACGAGTTCGAGAGAGCCACAGGCTTTCGCTCGGGAGGGATTGAGTGCGTCGCGACGGACTTCAGGTTACACCTGAAAATCTGACGGTTCTCGCTCCCCATCGAGCTCTTCTCTTGCCGCACGGCTCTTCTGTGTGCCGGCACAGAGCTCCGTGCAAGCCTTCCAGCGTGATAGGAACGAGTGTATCGCTTTGACGGATCGACCGTGCTTGTTATCCACATCGATGTGACGCACACAGTGACACTTCAGACGACACACATTCTCCCACCCGCCGGGACGCAAAACGCTCTCGACGAGAGCCACAAGAAGGCGACCACACAGCAAGCCGCTCGGTCGATCACGTTGCTCGCTCGATGCCGGCGAGCGCATGGCGCACGCCTTGGACGGTGGCGAAGCCAAAAACACCGGCAGTGGCCGTCCGCTGGCGTGAGCGGCGGCGGTCGAGACCTCACCCTTCGCGCCGACGACCCAACCTCACGCGGAACAACCCAACCCAAGCCAACAACCCAACCCAACCCAAAAAGCACGATTCTCAAGTTGGGCCCTCGTGCCGCTGCAACGCGTCGCCATTGTCAAGGAGCGTCCGTATGTATGTAGAAAGATGAACAACAGTCAGGCTCGGACTGGACACCAACGCGTAAGGGTGGACGCAGATGACGTAAAAAAGAAAAATACGCCGCAATCGCGGGTAGTCTGCCGCGCCGCAGGGACGCCAGCAACGATGCGAGCGCCGCCAGGCTCCGCCAGCAATAGCCGCCTTTCGCTGCAACAAATTTTTGCGGTTCTTATTGGCACGGCGGCGCTGCTGCTCCTGCTCAACGCCACATACCTCACGTCCCTCTCTCCCGTCGGCGATCTGGACGTGGACCTGGACGGCATTGTCTCAGCGCGCGATATCCGTCGGCACGCCGCCGCCACGTCTCCGCCTCATACCAGCATTGCAGCGTGCGACCCTCATGCGGCCGGCACCATTCGCCAGCGGGCAGCTCCGCCCTTCAACCCAATCGCAAACGCATCGTCCGTGATCAGAGTGGGCGAGACGGTTCGCTTGACCGTCCTCACAGCTCGCACGCTCCGCATCGAGCAGCGGCGCAACCCGCGGGAGCGCTTCGACGAACGCAGCAGCTTTGCGATTGTGAATCGCTACCTGCCCGTGCCATCGCACAAGGCAACGCTCAGCAGCGACTGCCAGCTCCTCTCGGCCCACCGCTGCCTCGTGCTGACCACGGCGCAGCTGCGACTGGAGCTCTCGGCTCCGGCCAACGCGACGGCGGCGCAGATCACTCGTGGGGCTGCCGGTCCGGCGCTGCGCACTGGCTGGCTGGCTTGACGGAGCCTTCCCTGACCCTTCCTGGAACCTTCCCAAAGGTCTGGTCGCGGACTGGCCGGCGCCTCGGCTGTCCTCCGCCACGCTGCGGGTGCGGCTGGCTCTCGACGGCGATCGGAGCTCGGAGTGGCATCCGGGCCTGCCGAACCCGGATCAGCTGCCAGGCACCGTCCGCACGCTGGACAACGTGGACGGCGCGACCGAGCTCCGCTGCGATCGGCTGCCGGTCGACCAGCGCTCCGGCCGAGAGAACGACGCGCACTGCGCCATGGGCGTGATCTCTCGCAGCGGCTGGGTGTCTAGCCGCTCGAGACCCATCACGACACGTCGCGACCCGTCCCTCGTCGCCACCCGTCCCTCGTGTCCCTCAGGCGCTGCTCGACGACTCGCTCACCCTTCCTAGACTTTCCTCGACCTTTCCTGGACATGTCCCTCAGGCGCTGCTCGACGACTCGCTCAGCGCCCGCTTCGACGGCGCGGCGGCGCAGTGGGACTGGGTTGCGGCGCGGGAGCCCGAGCGGCTCGAGGCCGAGCGAGCGGCGAACGCAGCCGACGGCGACCCGAGACGAGATGACGACGCGTCCCCGACGTGCCCACGACACGCCCCCGCAGGCGCGCGCAGCCGACGGCGACCCTCGCTGCGAGCAGTGGGCTCGCGGGGGAGAGTGCGAGGCGAGCCGCGCCTTCATGCAGGTCATGTCCATGACACGTCCATGACACGTCCATGACACGTCCATGACACGTCGCGAGGCGAACCGCGCCTTCATGCAGGGCGCGTGCAGGGCGGCGTGCGGCCGCGCCGAGGCGAGGGCGGCCGCCGTTGCCTCCGAGGCGTTCGTGCGAGGCCCTGTCCCCGCCTCTGTGGCCAGCGCCTCTCACGAGGCCTCGCGGTGGGCAGGCGTCGGGCGAGGCCCTGCTCCGTCTCGACTGGTACTTGTTCGCGGCGGGCCTGGACTACGCGTCTGCGCTGCGCGACTTTGCGGCCTTGAGCGGCGTGCGACGCCCTCCTTCCTCGCCCTCCTTCCTCTCGCCCTCCCTTCCTCTCGCCCTCCGAGGCAGGACCAGGACCCGTCCCCGTGGCACGTGCCGCAGGTCCGCAGCCAATCCCCCCGCGCTACGCGTTCGGCGTCTGGTTCTCGCGGTGGTGGCCGTGGGCGGACTGGGAGGCGCGAGGGGGGCAGCCGCCCGCGAGAGGGAGATGTGGGGAGTGTGGGGCGGTGTGGGGAGGTGTGGGGAGGTGTGGGGAGGCGGGGCCCTTCTCTCTGAGCCGTCTCCGACTCCTCTCCCAGGCGGCGGGGCTCCTCCGCGAGTTCGAGGCGCGGGGCGTGCCTGCGGACGTGCTCGTCACCGACATGGACTGGCACCACACCTGCTACCGGCGCACGTACGGCAACGAGAGCGAGAAGTCGATGGACGCGTCGCACAACTGGCCGTGCTGGTCGGGCTTCTCGTTCGACAAGAAGTCTTGTCCGAGCCGCTCGACTCGCCGCGCTGCAGCGACCCGACGCTGAGCCCCGGCTCGGGCCTGCGGGTAGGTACTTCCCGGACCCGCCCGCCTTTCTCGGCTGGTGCAAGGCGGCCGGCGTGCACAATGGCCTGAACCTCCACTTTCAGAGCGGGCTGGTCAAGGCGGAGGAGGATGCCGACCGGTGGGAGGCTTTCCGAGCCGCGATGGGGCACCGGCGCCGCGCTCCGTCTCTCCGCACGCAACCACCTCGGAACCTTCTCGGAACCGTCCTGTAGGCTGCCGCCCGACGCCGAGTACGCTGCCTTCGACCCGCTGAACCGAACCTACTCCTCCCACTTCCACACCCACGTGCTCGCCCCGCTCGAGCGGCTCGGCGTCGACTTTTGGTGGCTCGACTGGCAGCAAGGCGAGGCACGGGGAGAGGTGGGGAGAGATGCGGAGAGGTGGGGAGAGGTGGGGAGAGGTGGGGAGAGGTGGGGAGAGACGGGGAGAGACGGTTGCTGTACTGGCAGCAAGGCGAGCTCCAAGCCACGGCCCTTCACCGCTGCTTCGCCGCCTGACCCCGCCTCTCCACCCACGCCCCCCACAAAGGAGAGCACTTCTTCGGCGGCTCCGAGACGCCAGAGGTAAACCCAACCTTCTGGCTCAACTACGTCTACTCCACCCAGCCCGACGGGCGCGCGACACCGGCCTCTGCCCAGCGGCGACGCCTCATCATGCACCGCTGGGGCGGGCTCGGCAACCAGCGCTACCCGATCGGCTTCAGCGGCGACACGAAGTCGACGTGGCAGAGCCTCGCTTTCCAGCCCGGCTTCACGGCGAGCGCCGCCAACGTCGCCTTCGGCTACTGGTCCCACGACATCGGCGGCTTCTTCGATCGGGTCGAGCCGGAGCTGTACGTGCGATGGGTGCAGCTGGGCAGCCTCTCGCCAGTCTTCCGTGCGCACGGCTTCCGCGACCCTCTGCACGAGAGGCGCTTCTGGCTCTTCGACGAGGCGGCTTTTGTCGCGATGCGGAGCGCGCTGCGGCTCCGGGCGGAGCTGGTCCCGCACCTGTACACCGCCGCCCGCGCAGCGTACGACGGCGGGCCATCGCCTGTCCGGCCCCTCTACCACGAGTGGCCTGGCCTGCAGCCCGCGTACGACTTCGGAGGCGAGTACCTCTTCGGCGCGGGACAGTCGCTGGCCGTCGCGCACCTGACGCGCCGCTCGAGCAGCAGGCTGTCTTGGAGCCCTCTCGGAGCGGTCCTGTAGGTAGTCGCGCCGGTGACGCACCGCTCGAGCGCGGACGCGCCGCTCGCTCGGGGCGCGCGGCTGTGGGTGCGCCCTGGGGCTGCGGGGGCGCCCTCGGGGCCCTCCCTTCAAGCCTCCTCGGTACCCGCCTGCAGGTGCCTCCGGGGCTGTGGGTGCTGACGCACTCGATGCTGCGCGTCGAGGGGCCGCGCGCGCTCTCGCTGGCGGCGGCGCTAGACGAGATCCCCATCCTCGCAAAGGGCGGGAATCTTCCCTGAACCTTCTCTGAACCTTCCAGGCGCTAGACGAGATCCCCATCCTCGCAAAGGGCGGCGCTGTCGTATTCGGCCAGCCGCCCGTCGAGAGCGAGTGGGAGCACTGCGGCGCGGGCACGAGGGGCTGGCTAGGCCGCGCGCAGCACGTGCCGCGCTGCCCGCAGGTGGCCATCTGGCTGCCGCCGCCGCCCGCTCCGTCGGCCGGCGGCGGGTCGGGAGACTTGTACGGCGGCGGGTCTGGAGACTTGTATGAGGACGACGGCTGGAGCGGCCGGTACGCGGCTGAGCAGAAGGGCGGCGAGCACTCGAGCTGGACGCGGGTCGAGTGGGAGTGGGCCCACGCGAGCGGGGATGAGGCGGGCGGCGGGGGGGGCGGCGGGGGGGCAGGCTTGCGCGTCGTGATCGGCGCGTCGCGAGGCTGCCTCTTTGCGAGCGACGCGCCGGAGGAGCGGACAGAGCCTGGCTTGCCTCGCCCGACTGGGGACGGAGGCGGGCGGCGCCCGTGGCGGCCTCCTCCTGCTGTTGACTGTTGATGGCCAATGACTAAGTAATAGGGCGGCGCTCGTGGCGGCTCCTGTTGCACGGCGTGCCCCCGCCCACCCACGCCTCGGTGCGTGCGCAGCAGCCCCGCGGCGGCGCGGCGGAGACTGCGGTGGTGTTCGCCGACCCTCCGACGGTGGAGCGGCGGCGCCGTGCGGGCGAGCGCTCCTCTCCGCTCTGGTACTTCGACGCCGAGTTGCTCTGCGTGGTTGTCTGGCTGTTCGACTTGCCCGCCGGCACGTCGGCGGAGCTGACGCTGCGGTTCGACGACGAGCGGGCGGCGCGACTCGCGGCGACGGTGCTCGCGCCGCTCCTGAGCCCGCGCGACGACCCGGCCGCCGCCGCCTCTGCGGGCGCCCTCGTGCTGGTGAGACGAGCGCAGGCGGCCAAGTCGTTGCTCGACGGCACGTACCCCCAGACGCAGCCGCAGGACTACAGCCACACCACTTGGCTCGCAGGGCTGGGCAGCCGTCTCGCGAGCCGCCCGGCCAACTTTACCAACGAGATGGCTGCGCTGCCGGCGACGCTCGAGGCGGCGCGCGGTCAGCTGCGAGGTGAGTGCGCTCGCCGGGTCGGCGCGGGGAGCGGAGGCGCGGAACGCGTGCGGAACGCGACGGCGCTCGTCATGGAGACGGGGGTCGCCTCGGCGTTGCCGGGCGGGTAGAGAGAGAGAACAGAGCTGTAAGTTAAAAAATGCAAGACTATTGTCGAGCGCGTCGGAGAGCGGTGTTTCGACACCGAGTGTTTTGAACGTTTCTTCGCAGAAGAAATCCTCAGGGGGAGGGTGTGGAGGATGTGTGGTTGTAGAGTGTAGAGCGCGCTGTACCTGTAGAGCTGTATAGAGATGGCTGAGCGCTATAGAGCTGTAGAGCGCTGTACGACCTGTAGAGGCCTGTTGTAGAGCGATGTAGAGGCGCTCTACACAACGTGAAATCTTTAGAGCTCTACAACAAACTCTACCATGAGCGGCGAACGAGGCACGGTCGCTCTCCGACATGAGGCGCGTTGCACTTTTGCCAGTGCTGCCCTGGCCTTCTGCCTGCCCGCCCAATGGGTGGCAGGTGCCTCTGCTGCTGTGGCATGCCTCACGGCTGCGACTGGCCGGCGCCTCGGCGCGTCAGCTCAGCTCGGCGTAGCGATAGTGGCCAGCGCAACTCGCCTGGACTCAACGCTCAGCCAGGAGCTCCCGCACGCGCTGGCGCGAGGCATGGCGCATGCAACGCGCAGCAATGCTCGCCTCGCCTCGCGCAAATGCGACCGTCCTCGCAGCCGACAGTCCACCGCCTGCTAAAGAAGCACAGCGACGAATGCGGCACCGGCGACACATGGCAGGCTGGTCATGACGCCAGAGTTATAGGGTGTTGTGTGCCGTCGGAGTGACTCTCTGTGTGTCAGGGATAGTCAGGGCTGTCCACCAGAGCTCCAGTAAGCTCGGAGACACCCCATTGACGCGGCTCGACCTCTTTGAGTCACTGCCTTCCCGGCGGTTTGGCTGTAGAGCCTCTACAACAAACTCTACAGCAAAATCGCGCTCTACATCGCTCTACAAAGCAGGCAGTTCGTCACGCGGCGGATCGCGGATGTAGAGCTGCGCGCCGACTTGGAGACGGCCAGCTTTCTCGGGGCGCAGGCCCTGCTCGACTCCTTGACCACATGCCACACCCGAGACGGCTCTGCTGTCTGCTCGCCACAGAGCACGAGACTGGTTTGCCGACGCAGGCGAACGCCGCCTCGTTCCGGGGCGCAAAGATGGTCAAGGCTGACCTGCAGGGGGCAGACCTCACCGGTGCCCCCGCCACTCGCGGGCAGCGCTGTGGGGCGATGAGAGCGAGAGATGAGCGACGCCCGTTCCGGCGACCCCTCTCTAGGCGCCGTCTTTGAGCGGGCAGACCTGCGGCGTGCGAATTTCATCTACTCGACGCTCTCAGGCCCGTCGCCCGTTCCTCTCTCAGCGGCGCTTATCCGTGCGCCGGCGCCCTCCACCAGCACAGCACCTCTTCGCAGGCACCTCTTTCGAGAGCGCGGACATGCGGCTCGCGGGCGCAGAAGAGCCGAGGCGCGCCCGCTTGCCGTGAAGAGGCGCTGTTCACACCGTATCGCCTGTGAGCAGGGCTCACGCTGATCACCAAAGCGAAGGGCGTCAGCTTCGACCGCGCGAACCTGGAGGGCACCTCCATCACCGACTCGTCCATGCAGCAGGCACTCTATTCACACCTCCCATTCACACCTCCACATCATCGCACATCGACTCGTTGATGCAGCACGCTCCACCGCCGCCCTGCCCTCGCGGCCCCCAAACCACCGCCACACGCGACCGCGCGGCCCCGCGCACGCCGCCCCCGACTCCCGCCCCTCCGTCTGTGCGGCACGCAGGCCTCCTTCATCGAGACGGACCTGCGCGACGTCCGCGTGGAGGACGTCAACTTGAGTGGGTCGTACTGGCAGGGGGTGCAGACCCGGGGGATGGCCTTCGTCGACTCGTGGCTGACGGACGCCTTCCTGGTCGGCGTCAACTTCGACGGCGTCAACATGAACGGGCCGCGTGCCGCCTGCAGGGCGCCGACCTCGGGTACGCGCGCTTCACCAACGCCATGCTGCAGGCTGCAGCTCGAAGGGGCCAAGGCGACCGGGGCCTCCTTTGAAAACAGCAAGATGAACATCGCCGACTTCACCAGGGCGCTGCTCGACGGGGCCTCAGTCTGCCAGACCATCTTGACTGACGCCTCCACGCAGCCGACATCAACGAGTGCGACTTCACGTCGGCGATGGGGGTCGACAAGGCCTCTTTCTTCAACGTTATTGGCACACCGATCGGTCGGACTCGTAGGATGATGTCTCGATATCGCATGTCCGCGTAGATGGTGTTTTCACATGCCATGTCCCATGTCCATGTCCATGTGCATGTAACAAACTCAAAAGCTGGTTTGCGTATCCTTGTGATCTCGAATTGTGAGCCGGGAGTCGTAATACGTAAAGAGCCGTATGTTCCAGTCTACAAAAAATTAATAAGTCTTATCTTCTCCCTTTGCCTCCGACGCTAGAGACACCCACAGCCCAGTATCAGACCAGGGGGACTGCCCCCCGCCCCCACCTGCCCTGCTTACACAGGATAGCATGCCCCGAGAACGGCGACACTTGGTGGGGCTAGTTCCATTTCACTGTGGCACAGCTCGCGTTACAAAACCTTGATTTGACCATTTGCGCGACAAAGGTACATCTGGGTGCCTTCCAGAGGCAGCTGCGACCCCGCCGAGTGGACGGTAACGCACAGCAGGTGGCGCGGTGCGTTACCGTCCACTCCGCTGGATCGCAGCTGCCTCTGCGCGTCCTGGGGATGTACCTTTGTCGCGCGCCGGAGACGACTCGACGCCGCTGAGATCGGAGATCAAGCTCTGACAGGTCGCACGTCGCTCCTTTGACGCCGACGTGACTCACCCGTGCAGATCACATCAGGACACGGTCTCGACGCGCTCGGTACGACGCCTGCGACCCGTCTCGGGTCAGGTGGCACGACGCTCATCGCGCCTACCAGCGCTGCGGTACAGGTTGCCACGACGAGGTCGAGCACGCTTCTATACGCTCGCCGAGCCTTCCTTTCCATCCCATTTGGCAGCCTGGGAACGGTGGCGGTCAGAGGCAAAGCATACGAGGGGTGGTGGAACCACATGTCACGGCTACTGCCGGCTCGACCCCACGATAGCCTCCGGAGGCTGACTTTGAGGCACAATCATCGGACGACGTCGGCGAGTTGAGTCGCGCTCGCGGTAGCCAGATGACCTCTCATACTAGTATCATCGGCCATGGCCGCAGGAAGCGCGGGGGAGGGCGCTGGGAGCAACACGGAGCTCCGTTCGACGTTTTCAAGATTAGCGTGTCAGAGTGAAATGGAACTAGCCTGGGGGACACTGAGTGCGAGCTGGATGGAGGAGGAAGGCGGCGCAGGCGGCTATCGAGCTGTTCTTGTCGAGGCCAGAGGGTCTCGGTACGCGTGGGGCGGCCGCGGAGGCGGCGTTTAGGCGGCTCTCGGTCGAGAGCGTGGCGAGGTGGTCGCGGCGCTCGTGGCGGCACAGTACTAGCCCAACAGCCTCTGCAGGTAGGTGTGCCGCTCACTGGCAGTCGCGAAGCCGTTCCACTCGTAGAATGGAACACTGATCACCCTCCAGCCAGCCGCTGTGAGGAGGCGCCGCTTGAGCAGCGTCGGCCCGTTGGGTTTGCGCACGCCCCGGCCGTCGGGCAGCAGGAAGTGAGAGGGGCCGTCCACCTCGACCGCGACGCGTGACGAGGGCAGCGCCAGGTCGAGTGAGTAGCCGGTGCGCGGCTCGAGATGCTCCTCCTCGAAGCCGTGCTGGACGGCGGCGAGGGCAGCCGCGACGGAGCCTTGGAAGTCAGAGATCGTCACTTGCGTGTCTTGCATGGCGTCGCAGCAGAGCTTGCGCTGGGACTCGGAGAGAAGGTGCTGCTGCCCGTCTGCTCCTCGCTCAAGGGAGAGCCAGAGCTGCCACTGGTGCAGCTGAGAGCGGTCCACGACGCCCCACCTCGACGGATCCCGCGCGAGCGAGTCGCTGATCACACGCGAGCAGTCTGCGAGCAGCACCTGGTGGTAGTGGCCCGCCGTCGCATACGCCCACACCGTGTTGGCCAGGTTCTGAGGGTTGAAGCCAGCCAGCCCGCCGCGCACCGCCGCCTCCGCCGCTGCCGCGTACAGCGCGTCCGCAGCCACGCCCGCCGTCGCATACGCCCACACCGTGTTGGCCAGGTCCTGAGGGTTGAAGCCAGCCAGCCCGCCGCGCACCGCCGCCTCCGCCACCGCCGCGTACAGCGCGTCCGCAGCCACGCCCGCCGTCGCATACGCCCACACCGTGTTGGCCAGGTTCTGAGGGTTGAAGCCAGCCAGCCCGCCGCGCACCGCCGCCTCCGCCACCGCCGCGTACAGCGCGTCCGCAGCCACGCCCGCCGTCGCATACGCCCACACCGTGTTGGCCAGGTCCTGAGGGTTGAAGCCAGCCAGCCCGCCGCGCACCGCCGCCTCCGCCGCTGCCGCGTACAGCGCGTCCGCAGCCACGCCCGCCGTCGCATACGCCCACACCGTGTTGGCCAGGCCCTGAGGGTTGAAGCCAGCCAGCCCGCCGCGCACCGCCGCCTCCGCCACCGCCGCGTACAGCGCGTCCGCAGCCACGCCCGCCGTCGCATACGCCCACACCGTGTTGGCCAGGTTCTGAGGGTTGAAGCCAGCCAGCCCGCCGCGCACCGCCGCCTCCGCCACCGCTACGAACAACGGGTGCACCACGCTCGCCTGCTGGCCGCACTTTGCCACGCCGTGGGTGATGTTCGCCAGGTTGCGTGCTTCGCACGACGAGACGAGGTGGAGCGTGCGCTGCACCAGCTGCTCAAGCCGCTCCTCGTGCCGCCGCTCGATGCGCTGCTTGCCCAGTTTGTTCCACAGGTTCGCAGCGTGGATGTGGTTCAAGCTCGCGCTGTGGGCAGCAAAGAGCGCGAGCAATGCGTCAGCGCTGCCAGCATTTGAGATGTGGCTGCTGAGCTGCTTAGCGTTGAGCTGACCACCGGCAGCAGAGGTGTGCCTCTCGTCGCGCGATCCCGCACCACGCATCGGCGGACTCCACCGGCGGTCGCTGTGCTGAGGCTGCCCCTCGCCGCGGCGGTCGCGCCGGTCATGGTCGCGCCTGAAATCGTGGGATCGATCATCGCGCCGATCGCACAAGTCGTGCTCGCGCTCGCCTATGCTTGGTCGGTCGTTGCAGCCGCGCCGCTCGACGTGCCGCCCGTCATGATGCGGCCGTCGTCCGCCTCGCAATGGCTCATCGCGGCATCGCTCAGCGGGCCTTTTTGGCTCAGCGTGCCGTCGCTGCTCGCGATCACTGTACCAAGATTCGTTGTAGCCGCGCCGCTCGTCGTGCCGCCCGTCATGGTGCCGCCCTGGCTCGCCTTGCCAACCCTCGTCGCGCCGTCGCAGCTCATCCCGCCGCGGCTCATCGCGCGATCGCGACCGCCGTCGCGACTCGTCCCGCCATCGCCGCCCTTCGCGTCCGTACTCGGCGCGCCGTTGCTCATCACGCCAGCGACGCTCCTCGCCCTGGGACATTGATTTTCTGCGAGTCGTGCGAGGACGGCGTCTGTTCACGTGCTGCTGTGAGCAGGCGTGTTTCCTTGAACACAAAAAACACAACCGCGTCTGTTCACACAAAAACACAACCCCGGCACCAAGACGCACGTCTGTTCATACACACAAACACACACACACATTATTAGTCATCGGGTAATGATCATTAATTATTAATCCTCGGGCGGCGGCGCGGCGCGGCGGCGGGCGGCGCGAGGCGGCGGCGCGGCGAGGCAGCGGGCGACGCAGGGCGGGGCGGCGCGGCGGCGGGTGGTGTGATTACTTATTAATTAATTAATAATGAATTAATAATCGTCGGGCGGTGGCGCGGCGCGGCGGCGGGCGACGCGGAGCGGGGCGGCGCGACCATCTGCAGTTACCGGGTCTCTGATCATTGGAGAGCGGCAATGGTCGCGCCGCCCTCGACTCAAGGGGCTGCCTTCCACCCGTAGCTGCTCAGGCCGGGGGAGGGGAAAGGCCACCTGTTCCGCGGATCGCGAGCAGGCCCCTCCTTGCCCGGTCTGCGATGCAGGGCGGTGGTCGTGCCATCTTCGCTTCACAACGACCCCGCCGCAACCGTCGCCGGCGCGCGACACGTTCCAGTAGGCCGGACTGTCCTCGTCGAGAGTGTGTGCCGCCAAGGCGGGACGCACTCAGGGACAGTGCCGACGGGACGCGGCTCGAAGGGCATGGCTCCGCAGCGCGGCTGGCACTCGTCGCAGAGGCCTCGCCGTCGAAAAGTCGGGCATGGCGCTCGGGAGACGAGCAAGAGAGCGAATCAAGGAGGGTCGGGACCCTGGGAAGGCGAGGGGTGAGCCCTCAGGCGGGGGGGTCTACTCAAACGTCTACGCAAGTGAGTGTCGTGTAGAGGGGTGGTGTGGGGCGTGCAGTGTGGTGTTCATTAGCTCCGAGTAGAGGGGGCGTCCTGCAGTTAAGGGGAAACCCGGTACGCGGGGCTAACCCTCGGAGACCTGTGTTTACTTTATGACCCTTTCCCTGCGAACGCGCACCCCCGGGGCTTCCTAGGGCTCTCTAGCCCGTAACCCGATACCGATCATCCGGCCCGCTGGGTGCGCTCCTCAGCTCCCCGGCCCTGGATGTGAGGTTGATAACTGCACTCCAAGTGCTCCAAGTGCTCTACCCGCAACTTTCTCGCTAACATGCGCGCACCGCCGAGCCTGCGGCGGGCGAGCTGCGGCCGCACGTCTAACTCCCTCGATCGTCTCGCCCCCCCCTCGCTGGTGTGTTCAGGGGGGGGGGGGGTCATAACAAACTCGCTACACGGTACAGGATCGAGGTGCACGCTGCAGAAGCAGTGTCGTCCCCCCTCTCCATCGTCTCACTGGGTGGGAGACGTCGGCGGTGGTTGGTGGCGGTGTGACCGATCGATCTACAAGAGGACTCTCGGCGCAGCTCCGTCCGCTCTCCTGCAGCATATTTTGGCCCCTCGAGTTTATCGAGCTCTCCTCGCGCAAGGACGAATCTTCTGACCCCCACTCCGATCATTTGCCGCCAACCAAGTCATGCATGTCGTTGCTCAGGCCCACCCACTCTCGCTCGTTTCGGATGGTGTTGGCATTGGGGTCCCCTTCGGGTGCATCGTTACAGCTGACGCTGGGATTGCTAGTGGTGAAGAACAGTAAGGCTCGGACTGGACAAAAGCTACTGCTTCTTCACCGGCGAGCCGGTGTGTGTGCCAGTCCGCGCCACCGCGCCAGCGTTCTTCACCGAAAAAAAAGAGGCATTTTTTTGGTAAAATTACACTGTGAAAAAGACAGAAAAAGAGAGAAAAAACGCGCGCGCAGCGCGCGTAGGCGGCGCGCAGCGCCGCCGCAGGCGGCGGACAGCAGGTGCGCAAAATTAAACGCCATTTTCGGTTCCGCGGTTTTGGCACTAACATCAAATGATTGACTGATTCGACCACATGCCCGCCATGCGCAGGCCAGCGCCGCGCTGTGATACGCATAGAGACGACCCGACCTCTCTGAACTAAGCCAGATTACTGCGAACGAACGCCTAGCGCGGCGGGGAAGTCAACGGGGCAGCCGGCGGTGGCCGGCCGCGCCCGAGGCGCGAGGGCGTAGACGGGTCACAAATTGCCCGGGACGGCTGGTCACTTGGTCTCTGACGTAGGCCACGCACATGCACATTAAGCGGTGACATGACCTGATTGCTAAAAGAGCCGGTCCGCGAAATTAAATGCCATTCTCCAGGTATCCATTTTAGCACTATCTTCGAAATCCCGGCCGGTACTGTTTTAAGAATGAGTGAAAGAGGTTGTTGGTGTTGTCTCTGAACGGGCTCGGCTGCGCCTGGGTTCGGAGCTTCAACGCCGGCCATTGCGCCGAATAAAACGGCGGCAAGTGCACAGGGGCTTCGGCGAGAGCGTCGATGCCTTGAGCTGCCCGCTAATTGCCAGGGGCTGCACCGCCGTGTACATCAAGAAGAACTTGCAGATGTGCAAACTGTGTGTATGCCGAATCGTGACGGCGGCGAGGACGACACGGACGGAGCAGGCGACAAAGGCGAATCCGACGGCGGAGGCGACGGCGACACGGACGGAGGCGGCGAAAGCGAGACCGATGGCGGCGACGGCGACGGCAAGCGAGGTTGCTGCGGGGAGGGCGAGACGGAGGAAGGCAGCGGCGACGGCGACACGGACGGAGGCGGCGACGGCGACACGGACGGAGGCGGCGAAGTCGACACGACCGACGGCGGCGGGGAGAGCGATTCCAACGGCGGCGGCGGCGACGGCGACAAGGACAGAGGCGGCGAAAGCGAGACCGACGGCGGCGACGGCGACGGCGACATGGATTGAGGCGGCAAAGGTGAGATCGGCGGCGGGGATGGCAAAACGGAGGAAGGCAGCGGCGACGGCGACACGGACGGAGGCGGCGAAGGCGACACGGACAGATCCGAGGCGGCGCGACGGCGACACGGACGGCGGAGCGGCGACAGCGACACGGAAGAAGGCGACGGCGAGACCGACGGCACGGCGGGGAGGGTGAGGCCGACGGCGGCAGCGGGGAGGAGTGCGGCGGCAACGGCAGCGGTGAGGGCGGCGGCGACGGCGGCGGAGAGAGCGGCGGCGACGGCGAGACCGACGGCGCGGCGGGGAGGGTGAGGCCGATCATGCTTGGCGGCAGCGGGGAGGAGTGCGGCGGCAACGGCAGCGGCGAGGGCGGCGGCGACGGCGGAGGAGAGAGCGGCGGAGAGGGCGGTGGAGAAGGCCGCGGGGAGGGTGGCGGAGAGGGCGGTGGAGGCGAGGGCGGCGGCGACGGCGGAGGAGAGCGCGGAGGCGACAGTGGCGGAGAGGGCGGCGAGGAGGGTGGCGAAATCGCAATAATTCACCTGCGGGAACCGGGACGGCGGGGAGGGGGGGGACCGACTCGTGCCGCGAGCCGCCGGGCAGCGGCCATACCCGCTCGGCGGAGGCAGGGCTCAGAATCGGTTTCAGGCCACAAGGCTGGTGAGTTGGGCGTGACCGTCATCTATAGAACGCGCCCGCTCGGAAGTCTCGGTCTGCGGAAGGTAACGACGATTCGGCTAGGCGTCTGCGGAGGCAAAGGGCGGGCTGGCGATCCGCTACGAGGCCTGTTTGTCGCGGTCGGACAGGCACCCGTCGCATCTGTGGACAGGTGTGACGACGGCAGTCACGAGTTTGCGGCGCAGCCGCGCACGGGGCCCCGCCGTCAGCGGCCACACATGCAAGAGCGGCACAGCATGAGTCGGGGGGGTGTCGGGGCACGACGAGGGTTGCTTCGGCTGGCGCTCTGAGGCCACCAGGCGGCCCCATTTGATGTCCGGGAGGTGCCTCCCGGACGCCTCCCGGACAGCTAACGTGCAGAGCATCGAATAGACGCAAAAAAAAGGGAAGGGATTGGCGGAGGCGGCATCGCCGTGGGAGGGCCTCGGAACCACCGTTGCAGAGCTCTGTCCATCGCCCTCATGTGCCCTCGCGCTCCCATTGACTCGGCGATGGTGAGCCTCCGCCTGTACAAGACCGGCACGGCGGACGAGAAGCGCGACGAGGCCAAGCTCGCCACCGCGCTCCGCGTGGCGGGCGCCTCGCTGGCCACGCTCAAGCAGGCGCCGCGGGCCCCGCAGTCCCGCTGCTCCACCCCCCCCCCATCCACGCCCCGTGTGCGTATGAGCATGTTTGTATTCGCGAGACCTCCTCTCATCGCGTCTCCTCTCGCACGCAGGAGCGCTGCTACATGGTCGCGCTCGAGGACGGCGCGCCCGCACTCTCGGCGGGCGACGCGTCCAAGCTGCGGTGGCTGGTGGCGGAGACGTTCGAGCAGGACAAGACGAGCTGCTCGCCCGGCCTCGCCGCGCCCGCCGCCTCCGACGCCCACACGATGCTGCTCGAGGTCGGCCCCCGCCTCACCTTTGCCACGGCGTGGTCGTCCAACGCCGTCGCAATCTGCCAGTCGGCTGGCCTCCGGTCGGTCGCGCGGGTGGAGATGTCGCGCCGCTACCTGATCTCCACCGCCGAGCCGCTCACGCCCGCCCTCCGCGCCGCCGTCTCGGCCGCGCTGCACGACCGCATGACCGAGCAGGTGCGACCTCGCCCGCCCCCCCCTCCTCCTCCCTCCTCCTCTCTCCCAGCCCGCCCGCCCGCATGAGCCCTCTTGCCTCCCCCCCCCTCTCCCCAGGTCTACCCCGAGCCGCTGCAGTCCTTCTCTTCCGAGGTGCCCGCCTCCCGCAGTGCCGCTCTCGCCCCCTACCCCCCCCCCCCTCACCCCCCCGCTCCCCTGCCCTCCCCAGGCGCCGGCCGCCGCCGCAACCCGCACCATCCCTCTGATGGCCGAGGGCCGCGCGGCGCTCGAGCGGCTGGACAAGGAGATGGGGCTTGGCTTCGACGAGGCGGACCTCGACTACTACACGAATCTCTTCGTCGACAAGCTCGGCCGCGACCCCACCGACGTCGAGTGCTTCGACATGGCGCAGTCCAACTCGGAGCACTCGCGCCACTGGTGCGCCCCATATCTCCCCATATCTCCCCATATCTCCCCATATCTCCCCATATCTCACGATATCTCCGGAGCACTCGCGCCACTGGTGCGCCCCCACACCACCGCCCCATCGCCCGCCACACTTCCCCCCCCTCAAGCCCCCAGCCCGCCTCCCTGGCTCCGCCTCCGCCGCCTACCCTCCCCCCCCTTCTCCCCCTCAGCGCGCCTCCGTCTACCGACCGCCCCTCCTCCTCCTCCTCCCCTCCGCAGGTTCTTCGGCGGCAAGATGGTCTTGTGTGGGGGCGATAAAACGCAGACGCTCTTCAAGATGCTCCAAGAGAGGGTCTAGGGCAACAAAGAGAGTCATCCCCACGTGTCCCCGTTGCTCTCCGCGCCCCGCGTGCTGATGATGACAACGTCCAC